CTATATTTATAAGATAAATATACACTTTAAGAGAAAAGAGTTTATTTTAAGAGTTCAATATTTTGTATTAAAAAAATAGCATCTAAAATATATATATATAACAAATAAATATATAAATACATCTAAAATATATATATCTATATATAAATACGTATAAAAATATTGAAAAAATAATAATGCTAGAATAAAATAAAAAAGTAATGTTGACATTAATAATTTTCTACTGTCACTGTTACCTTTATATCTTTCATGCCCATTTTTTTTTCAGGCAAACTCTCCGACATTTAATTTACAATTTACAATCAGAGTTATTGAGATACACACAGAGAGAATAGCTAAGAATTGAAAAGAGAGATCTGCAAAAAGCAATCAGAAAGCCTTGTCTTCTTTTTTTAGAATGTGAAACGGATGCGAGAATTGTGAGATTTTATTTTAATTTTCTGTTTTCGTGGATTTACATATTTCTCTCGAGAGATTAAATTGGAGAATCGGATAATGTAAATAATTTCTGGTTATACATTTAAACATTCACTTTTAATATCTTCTGAAAATACTGAATAAATTTATCCGAAAATCACGCGTCTCATCCACGCATTATAGTTCCAACTGGGTGCTACCGGAGCGTATCAATAAAGGCATCAATTAAAACTGGTGTGTGGCCGTTTTATCGAATGCGTGCAATCGCACCGCTTGTAATGCATTAATTTGAAACATTTGTTTGTCTTTTATAAACAAAAAATATCTAACAACAGCGTTGGACGGCGCGCGGTGTATTATGTAACCTTAATGCAATTAAACAGAAAATAATTACGTTATACCTTTAACGACCCAATCGATATTTTACGGCCTTCTAGCCTTGATATGTTATTAATTTATTCAAGTTTATTAAAGCATTGAATTAATTATAATCAAACATTAATATAGTTGTAAATAAACTACAAAATTAATCATATATATATATATATATATATATATATATATATATAATAATATATTATATATATATATATATATATAATCGCAAATTAAAACATACGTTTTGAAGTACATATAAAACATTCGGGGAACACTCGAGAGATAAAACATCAATTCTACCAACACGTGTGTATATGTATGTATATTAATTTCTACTGACACACATAAAGTAAGTAAGTATGTAAGTTTCTACTAAACAAGATTGAACATATATCTGTATAAAATTAACTAAATAACACTTTTAAGCAAGATGTATGATTGTTTACCGAGTAAATTTAGCAAAGCTCTTTTAAGAATAATCCATAAAGAATACGATTAGATACGGATAGATCTTCTTAAGCATGCGATTATCTAGTCGCGTAAAATCTCGCTTTCAAGAAATATCATAAATCGTACAGAACCGCGAGGATTTAAGAAAGCAAAACTCGAGAGCTGTAAACAGGATCTTTTTATTAAAAGATCGTGTCATGACAAATTATACGCTTCTGGAGTTTTGCCACGCAAGAAGACTCTTCGTAAACACAGAACTCTTCGAAATTCGCAGGTAAAGTGCAGAAAACATGATGTAATAAAGACTTTATTTGTCGAAAACATTTGTCCATAAAATGAAGTGCACTTGCCAGCATACCGAGTCTCATACCAGGTGTACATTTGAAAATTTAATCTGCGAACGACGCAGGTTGCTCAAATAAAAATTTTCCAATGAAAAATTCTCCGTTTGGTTAGCTAATCGAGAAAACAATGAGGACTTTCGCCGCAATCAAAATTGAACGGCGTATTTCAAATACTTGTAAAGAATATATAAATATATTCGAAACACGAACTAACTACGTACATATAACTTTGCTTCGGTATTTCTCTATTACATATTTTTGTGGAAACTCGGTTCGTTCGGTTAATTCAATATTCTATACTTCTCGAACATCATACAAGATGATGCATAGTGTATCTCGCGTCTCGAGTATAGTATTCACGTTTAAGGTACATTTGAATCACGATATTACGGTATTCGTCTCGTTTCGAGCGAGAGTTTCTAATTACGGAGAACAAGATTTCGTAGTACACCGAGCATTAGACTCGTCTGGTCTCTGGACAACGTATAAACCTGTACCTGGTTGTGCCCATACCGTCGCGATGTCTAACTTAAAGCTGCCCAGCGTTAGATTAGCGCGCAAGAGATTCCGCGATTGCTGCACCTGTATATTATTAAAAGATGTGCTGTTTGAGCTTACTCCTCGTCCCTTTGTCCATTTGCATTTTTATCTCAAACATCAGGCGGTTGTCGTCTAATATTCGCTCGTCGGTTATAATTCTCAAACGGAATTTAAATGTTCTTTCCTTATGCCCTTTTCGATTTCCGATATACGTCTAAATATCCACTGAATCCAATTACAAGCGACGAAGACGTGGAACGTGGAAATTATTCAGAAAACGCGCACTTAATTGTGTTAATGTTAATATGTTAAATATCAATGGGCAAATTAATTAAATCTTCGAGTTTTAAACGGTAAATTAATACATGCGGATAAACTCACCGACAGCGTAATGATTTTGTCGAAGAGCATGACAGGCGGCATGTGGAAATCGAAGACAAAGTACTGAAAATATAAATGAGAGAAATAATTAGTAAGGAGAAAATTTATGAATAAATAGATAATAATGACATGACAGGAAAGATAATTTCTCGAAAATAATTATAACTTGTAATAATCTGGTTAGACTAAAACCAGAAGCTCTGTGAGGAGAGAATCGTTTATTTCATTCTGTCAACAATTTTATATCTATCATGTCATATCGAATCTAAAATAAATAATATGTCTTCGTTTCTCACTTCGTTGTAATACGGGCAATTCGTGGACTCCTTGACACTCGTATATTTGCGTTGATCTCCAATTTGCACACAGACCACCGGGTCCATGTTGAGACCGGCGAGTTGCCTCGCTTCTATGATCGTAACGCACACTTGATAATCCTGGGCTTTTAACGCGCTTTGCCAAGTATCGCTCGTCTGTGAAACGAGAAAAGTTTGCGTTGATTCAACTCGACTTGTATAACCTGAATTACGAGACGGAATATGAAACGGCACTGAATGCAGTGCCTCTGAATGCAAGAAAGAGATGCTGCGTATATAACATCAGCAATAATATGAACAAAGAGAAAGAAAATGTGAATGCGCCTCTTCTTTCATATATATTTTTCTTTACGTGTTTTATGTAGTTTGAAATTACTTAATCGAAAAGCAATATTAAATAACACGTGTAATAATATATTGAATGTAATAACAAACTTGAAAAGCTCGGTCGACCATTAAATTTATAATTGCTGAATCGAATTTGGGAAATTTCTTCGCAAAAAAGGCATTTGAAATGTGTTATTTCGTGGAAGTAAAGTCACGTATTTGTTCGTTATAAAGAGAGCTTTATCATCTGCTTTAACAAAAAAAAGATAAAAAATTCCGAGTGAAATCCTAATTCTTTTGAATTTAAAGCAGTTAAAATTTAATTTTGAAAACGATGGAAGACAAGCAAGAAAAGCGTTTTTTTACTCGTTTTTGTCTCATTAAATATTAGTTAAATATTAGTTATAAGAATAAAGCTATTACAGCAGGATTATTAGCAAAAAATTTATTTCTTTTACGTACATTCTTAATTTAACTTTGCATAATTACTGAAGAAATTTAAATATTATACATTATTATTTAAACATTTATTCTCTTTGATGGAAAAAGTTATAAAATAAAATAATAAACGCAAAATATGTAAATTATTTTGTGTTAAAAAGCTCAAAAGCTTCTATATATTAACCAATAAGTTGAAAAGAATATTTCTATATATTTCTTTATAAAATATTTTTAGAAAAGAATATCCTGCTTTGTAAATATTATACAAACTGTTAATATATGAAGTTTACAAGAGCGATCATAATATCATAATTGTTTGTTATCGAAAGAAAATCGAAATAGTTTTGCGTAAAAAATTTCGTTCATCTTTTACACTCGTAATTTAAGCCTGCCTGCTTTTAGAATCGATCGACCTCAATCTCATTTAAAGATAATTGCGAAGTCATTTACAGATAATTGCTGTGTCAGTATTATCGTAAATGCCTAATTCAATTTGCTGTGACATTTCGAAATTACTTTATTTTACGAGAACTGTTCTCTTTTGAAAACATTCATTCGTTGAATCTATATTACTGATACGCATAATTGAAAATAATAAAACCTTTCTTGTTACATTTCTTTACAGTTCTTATTACATTTTTAAGTCCTATTAAGTGAGAATACAGTGATGTGTGACAGTAATATATATATATACATTTATTACATAACAGTTATTGTTGAACGGAAAATTATAACTATATATAAGTTACATTATATGTTCATTGTTTACTGGAATTATTTGTTAAATTTTTATGCCTTTAGGATATTATTATTAAAACTTTGCTTAATTGTATGTAATAATAAGTGACAAAATAATAGTAAAGGTAAATCATTAGAGATTTAAGAGAGATAGACTTCCGAAAAGTAACTCGTTACCGTTACTTGTTGTAAAAACCTGTTATTAGTACCCATTATTTGTTGAAACAAATAACTTGTTACCGTTACCGTTAGGAGATAATGACGTTATAATTTCCTTCACTTTTTTACCAAATGTTGAAAACATTTTTTTAAAAGTTATTTGTGGTAATTTCATGGAACATAATAATTATATATGTGTAAAAGATTAATGATTATATATATCATTACTAAAAAAATATAATTACATTATTATCATTATTAATAAAAAAATATAATGACGTTACCAAATTTGTTATTAAAAAAAGTAACTGTGATGAGTAACAAATTAATTGTAACAAGTAATACATTCCAAATCCTATACAATTGTTATAAGAAATATTAACCTTAGGTTTGGATTTTTTCGCCGGTTTTGCAACTGTCTCTTCTTGCTCAGGATTGGCGCTTAGTTGACTGTCATTATCGGACGCGTTTGTCTCAAGGGACGTCATAGAGTTCGTTCGCGAAGGCTCATTCGAAGTTGGACAGCTAGAATCCTGTCTGTCAAGGAGTTCTTTCGTTTCCGAGTTGCTGTCGCAGGATCGAGTACGTGGCGGTCTCTGCTTTCCCAATTTCAGCAGGGATCGCACGCTCCTCAAAGTGGTGTTTCTAAAGCAAATGCCATAAAGGAATCTAGCATAAGAACCGGTAAACACTTTTCTAAAAACTATAAATATAATTCTTGCTGTGTAATCTGTATCGAGAAGTTTTAATAATTCAAGGCAGAGCGTTCTATAAATCAATTATTGTCTGTCTCAATATTGATTTGAATATAATATAGAATTAATCAGAATATATAATAATAAAATAATCTTTAGAATATATAATAATATTCAGAATAAACAAGTTTACCTTTATATTTTTAATTTTTATCTTTCATATCATCTCATATTTTATCTTTCATATTTTCTCAATATTTTATTGTTGAATATATAAAAAAAAAAGAGTAAAAATTATTAAATAATTTTACAAATGTAATTTTTTTGTATCATTGTTTAAGTATTTAATCCTAACTCAAGTAGAAATCAATCCGTTCCAATACTTCAAATTCCATTTTCTTTTTATTATTCTTCGCAGCATATAAACATAACTTTTCTCTTTTCCGAGTGGCACGAAAAACCGCTTACTAGAATCTTGCGTTCATATCGCTTCCATCAAGTTTCTTGCTGTTGCACACCGAGAATTTCAGTGATCCCAGCCCGATGGCGTCACTCACTTTAAGCCATAGTATCACCCCAAGCCCACTCGTAATCGTGGAAACACACATGGATGGATTAAAATACTCAGAAATTTCGAACGCGCAAATTAAATTCAAAATCTTTAAATCTGAAAATTAAATCTGAACAAGATTTTGAGACAAAATATTTTTAATTTATATAAACAATCGAAAAAAACCATATTATAATTACATAGACTTTTAAAAACATTAAATAATATCTATATTATTATTTCGAAATTAAATTTTATATTTTATTAATTTTACTTTGTAATATTTCATAAAATTACTAAAATTATGAAGTGTAAAAATATGAAGATTAAAAGCTCATAAAGCTAATTTTTCAATTAAACAATTTAAAAAGAACGCAGCTATAAGTACGATCGATAAGTATATCGATTTTCAATAGCTTTTCAATAGCTAAAAATAATACTTGTTTTTCAAAAAAATTATGTTTGAAAATGAAATTTTAGATTTTACTATTCTATTTGTTAATAACATTAATCAGCGTAAAAAAAAGTTTCAAAAACTTATACAAAATTGCGACCAATAAGCGATGTTCCCCTATAATAATGTTGTAATCCGTCGGTGGAAACGCGTGTTATACTACTAGTCGAAATGGGGATAAAATTGACGAGGTTCGAGTCCTACGATATGTTGCATCCATGCTACCTCGATCCTTATCGATTATAACATCGTCACAAATGAGAGAGATACTGTGGGCGGCTTTGCGAATGAGGATGTGTACGTTATTACATATACTATCACGAGTTACGTTCGATCACGAGAGTTCTCGCATCGAGAGGTAGTGACAGGAATTGCCGTGGCGCTCCCAAGAGAGTTTAATCCTCTCGTGAGATATAAAAGGCAACTTCTTTCGCAACGTGTCAGGATAAGATCCTAATAATACCTACGATGTGATATAGTCCTTTTTTTATATTGAGAAAATAAAAGGAAATAAAAAGATGTGAGGTCACTTGTAGTTAGACCTACCAAATTTTATAACAAAGCTAACATTCTTATATGTTTGTTCAATATAAGAAGATTATACAATAAGAAGTATTAGAACTTTGTATTACATTGTATAGAGAATTTAATTTCACCCATACAGCACAAATGTTCAAAATACATTACGATATCTTTAGGATATCTCTGTGATGTATTTTGGATATTTCTGCTATATGGGTATCTTTCCTCTATTTCTCTTTCTCTGTTTCCTTTTCACGTTTTTTCTCTTTTTTTTCTTCAGATATAAAAATAATTAAGAATTCCAATTATCGCTTTACTTAGTGATAAAGTAAGATCTTGGATGCAAAGTAATTTTACAGCGGCTGTTTAAGATACTCTTACAAAAATTAAAAATTGAGAAAAGATTATTTCCTTATAATATTTCCTTATTTAATATTAAATAATATCCAAAGAGTGATTAGAAATTTATTTTTCTTGTTTTATATCGATATATTGTACAAATAGTGTACTAGTAAAGCACTCGTTCAACATTTTACGTATCACGCTAGCGTAACATATATGCAAAAATATATCTCGTGTCTTCCTCCTCTGACCTTTCCATAGTAGAAAGGTTCATACTGAAATCGCGATAACGAACTTTAACACATCACTGGCATCATCGACATCGTCCGGATGTTCTCTCGCCCTTACTAAGCAATCTTTTCACATTTCGGTGACATTGATGGAGGTACATAGTAAAAATAAAATTTGTAGTAACACAACGTTTAATAATATCGAGAACTGTCAATTAATCGGAGTAATCGTAGATAATTCGTAAATGTCAGCATTCGTGAGTCGCTTTAATTAGTGACTCATTCATTTTTTTCAAACCGTAAAACTCAAATAAGTAAAACAAAAAATAAATGCGAAAATAACTTACATTTGCTATTAAGAAAGTAAAAAGAAATATTAACGGTAGCGATGACATATTAACTGGATGTAAACTTTCTGCGAAAGCAAATAAGTCACGTGTGTCGTGCGACAAATTTTCTGAAAACTTGCTATTCATAATTTTCATAATTTTAAGTTTCAAGCGCTTAAACAAAAATTAAACACTTCATACATTTAAACATACATTCACTAGAAGTTTATAATGTTATTGTAAAGCAAGAAGGGAATAGATGCTTACATGATTAGAAGTAATTATGTATTATTTCACAAAAATAAATTACATATTTTTACAAATTTTTACGAAGTGAAATATTCTTATTTTTCTTTTTGTAATTCTAAACTTAAATAGAAAATAGAAAATAGTAAAATGCAATTTTTACGCTTTTACTGGCGCTTTAACGAAGATACATTACTGTGTGTAATTATCTCGTGGAAATAACTTTATGAACATGAAATTTCTAAATAAAACATGTATGTTATTTTCATAATTCTGAGCTTGAGTGAAAATGAAAAATAAATGCGTTTAAAAAATGTAGATTTTAAAAGAAAGTTAGCATGTTTCTTAATATATTTATTTCTTTAGCTATAAAGTTGTATAATTTTTACATTTTTAAAAATCTAAAAATATATTTGGTTATTTTTTTTATTAATTATTTATTAATTTTTATCAAATTATACATTAACATAAGTTATTTATATAAATTTATATATTAGTTTCAAATTTTATTTTTTTGCATGTACATACAATCAATAACAGTATAGGATTTGAAATAATATTATTTTACAAAATAAAATTTAATAATGTAAATTTTTATTTGCTACTTTTATGTATTAGTTTCACGTATATACAAATACACACAGGGTTTTTATATATCTGCAATTAAATAATAATAACGTGACGGAAAATATGATGAATTTAATAGCAATTAAAACTAAATATAAAGTTATAATTAATAATGTTGGATAATGAGACTATGTGTTGCAAAAATAATTTCTCTTTAATATAAATATAAATATAAATTTTGTACGTTTAAACTTATAAATAAAAGAGAGCACCAAATTTTTCATGCGCATATCTTTCTTGTCGAGTTAGTACTGTTTGTTGTTAATTTAATATTTCGTGCTATATTTGTTGCTCTTTAACTGAAGTTTGCAATTTAAAACATAAATCTGATATGTAATTTGATACATGAATTTGATGAATAATTTTGACGTAGTTTGCGATTAACCTTTTCGGATATGTATTTTAGTGTATTAAAGCGTTGGAGTGACACAACTATATCTCTATAATTATGTTTATGTTTCTGATGTAATCATTTCACTTATATATCTCCAAATATGATATTTATCTTAATTGGTTGATTTTGGTTGATGACATAATTACATAATATTTCTGCACTGCTATATTGAGACAGATAGTGAAGCATCACGATTTGTTGTGTATCTAAATGTCCTGTTTAGATTGTAGTAATACACATAAACAACATTACAATATAAAAACATCATTACAATATTAATTATACATTAGCTTGAAATTTCACTTTTTTGCATGTAAAATCAATAATAATACGAAACTTGAAACAAAATCGTAGAATTACTTCATAAAAAAAGCTTAATAATGTCAATTTTAATGTAGGTGTATTTAGATATATTTGCATATATTTGCAAGTATATATCAATTTCACATCCAAGAAACATAGTTTTTATGCGTCTGCAATAAATGCTAATGACGCAGAGAAAAAAATAAACCTTAATATCATCGTGATATGTAAATAATGCAATAAGATTTAAATTACCTTACTAGTAAAGCTATTCTTTTTTACAAAACGTATAAAAGATGTAATATTACACAAATCTTATTTATTTTAGAAGAAATAAGAATTTAAATAACTGAGTTTTAAATAAATATGAATGTAATAAAATATGAATGTAATGCAAACGTAATAAAATATGAATGTATGATTTCTTACATTTCCACAAGATTTTAAAATTGAATCGATATCTATATAAATACACAAAGGTAGATTTTATATTATTCAAATACAAAAAGATTACTTAAATATGCTATAAAATAAATAATAGCAGTGTAATGATTTGAAAATATAATTTTAAAAATCGGAAATTTAAAAATAAAAATTGTAAAATGCAAGATAAATATAAAAATAAAATTATAGAACCAGTAGACTTTACATTTATTCTAACTTTATATTTTTACTCATAAAAATGTAATTATATGTTTTAGTAACTTACTTATAAATAACTTATATATTAAAATTAGTTTATTTATTAGTGACATTTTCATATAAATTGTGTATTTCAGTAATTCATGCAAATTATTTTCTTGTTAAAGAACAATTTACAATTTTGTATTACTCACCGCTTTCGAGTGTCGGGCGACTTTTCATTAGTTGACAAAGAAGTACCCTTTGATAAGAAGCCTCTTTTCGATGTTTTCTCCGGAGTATGCCAAGAGCCTCTTCTTTTCCCACTAGTTGAGCTGCTGTTGGCCTGTTCGAGACTCCTCTCGAGATTCGCGATATTCTGCTCGATATCGATCAACATTTGCTGTTCGTCCTCCATTATTTCCGAAATCGCGTACGAGCTGCAGCTTCCATCTGGAGGATTGTATCGAATTTCGAAGCACACTACCGCCTGTACACAACAATAGGGCATTAGAGAGATCGATCGATGAGAAGTTAAGATAATCGTTCGATACGTTCAGTAGAAGTAAGAAACATCATCGTGTACGATGAAGTTTATTCTGGTGTTCACGCATCTGTTCACGTCGTAACGACGACATTTGAAATAATGCTACGACACAGACAAATTAGAGCAGTCTGCTGAAAAATGACCATAGTCGTTTAAAAACAATTCTCAATACTGAACTATTTAAAAAACGCAAGCTAACGTAAAAAAATAAATTTATCTGTAAATATCTGAAAATAGAGAACGATTTATAAATCGTTGAGTGAGATCGTATAATGAGATGAAGAGATATTTAAAATTTTCCTATAATTATGCGCCAAAAATATAGAACATTAAAATTTATATTGGTTTATAGATATTATTTTGTTCTATTTAATCTTATTCAAATTTATATCAAAATTTTTGAAATATTTAAAAAAATATTAAAATATTTAAATTTTTAAAAAATGTAATATTTATTTCAATTTCTCTGAAAATCTATCACAAAGATCGAGAAGAAGAAGAAGAAGAATTGTCTGCAAACTTCATCTTTCTATTTCGATGTACTTTGTATGATAATAGTAAAAGTCAATATAGTATTTTATTTTCTAAGATCACAAAGGAAATTAATGTATCTTATTTAACTTGAGGAAAGAATTTCTATACTCTATTTTAACCTTGAGAATATTTAACAACAATTTTTTTTATATTTATTTATTTATTATATATTTTATTTATTTATTTTATTCTGAATTTACGATATATTTTTTTATTCACATCTAATATCTTTTGTTCCGAATATATAGAAAACACAATAATATGCATGTCAAACATAATATACATAACATAACATAAATATAAATTTAAAAATATAAAACTTTGAATGTTCCAATACACAGTTACAATACACTATAGTTGTATAAAAATTCTCATTTATGTAATAAATTAATATTGATTGAATATGGAAATTATAGTAATATACATTATTACTATAATTATATATACATTATTCTATTACTTTCATTTTTTCAAACTTCTTAATATTCAAATTAATTAATATAAAATGCAAAGAAAATAAAAATAGATTTTAAAATGTTTTGAATATCATAAAATTAATCAATTTTATGAAATATTTTACTAGATATGCATAATGTATAGTAATTTTTGGTAAAATTATAATTTTTTATTTATAACACATTTATTTATCTTTTTAAGAAAAGAAAATTTGGCTAAAAAGGTATTTGCATCCAAATATAGCACTAATATCCGAGTATATTTGTCTGTTAAAAATGTTACATATTACAAATGTCACCTAGATATTTTTTATGCGAGAATGTTCTTTGAGACAAAGAACATTTAATAATGTTGTTGTGAAAAAAAAAAGCAAACGAGAAACAAAATTTAAATTGCTATCTCAACTTAAATTAGATATGTTGTTATTTTAACAAATGAAATATACGCGGACTTTTAAAATGTTTTCCAGTTTCCCTTCCTTTCTTGCGGCATTTGAATTGTAAATGTCTCGCGCTTTTAATTCTCCTCTTTCAGACAAAAACACAGTTCATAAGTTCACTTAACACTGATGAGAATCTTGTTATTTCATTCAGAATTTATTGTAAATTCACCTTCCAGATGTTCGTTACTTAACATGTGTGTTTTAAGAAGATATTTATATAATTACAAATGCACTGCATAGTAAATTGTAAAATATAAATAAATAAATATATAATATTTTTACAATATTTAATATTTTAATATTAAAATTTGAGACAACATATTGAGTCTTTATTAATCACTGTCTTAAATTACTAAAATAACAAATATTACAAAAATATAAAAAGAGAAGAAAGGATAGATAAGTATAAAGTATCTTGTAACGAAGATTATATTTTGCAGACGGTAATGAACGTGAGATATTTGAGTCGGGCACATTATGTGGATATCCAATATGTATATAGATGTAGCCTATACCGCTATTACGTATTCAGCGTTCTTCTCTACATTGGTACATACCGGAAGCGGTTTGTTATTGAGGTCGACCAGGGAGTCAGAGACGAGAATTCTCCCTTCACGCACAACTGTTTGCAACACCAGTCCATACCTCGCCGCAACTTTTTCGTTTCTCAAGACTCCACGTGATACAACTGCCAATTGTAAAACTTCCGCTTCGTCTACTGGTCTTCCTAGATTCCACGTAAAACTCTGGAAAAGGAAAAGTCAATTATTCAGAACGCGTTTTCTCACACATTTTACGATGAAAAAAGTCAACGGATAAAAATGGTTAAAGAAGTGAGATCGACGAAAGTCAAATCGGCAGGCATCAGTTCTATGAAATTAAATTAAATCTTACATACATATAAGAAAACTTGGACTCTTCTTCCTTTTCACAACGTATTTTCTACTGATTAAATGAATAACTTTTTTTTGTATGGTATAATAGATTAAAACACCAGATGAAAAAGAACTGTACTGTAATATGTACTAACGAAATTTTATAAAGAATATCTTTTAACATTTATTAATTCTTTAATAAAGAGAAAGGCATTATATTATAACTATTTACAATAGAATAACAGAAATAACGTTTTATTTACATATTTTAATATTAATTAAAGAAATAAATCATATCATATTGCTTTAGAAGATATTGTTATTTTCTAAAATAAAACAAAAAAAACAAAAAAAAATAGAATAAAGTTTATCTATGTTTCAATCAATCATTAGTTTTGGAAAAATATTTTTATTTTTCCAGAACAAAAATATCAATTTTCAGCAGAATGTAAAAGAATTCTGGTTGGTCTGTATAAAAAAACACTGCTCTTTTACGAGATATTTTTGCAAACTGATTATGTGTTGTTACAAGCGAGGCTATTCGAATCACCATCACACGTATTCTCGCACGCATGTATAAGAAATGCACGAAATATAACATGGCACGCGAGATGTAGATGTATATGTATAGATAAAAATGGAAAATCGATAAATTGTGAGCACAGATGCCTTGGAGAAAGCTACACGTTACTTAAGAAAGAACCTATATTGAGAAAGCTCCATAAGCAGAGACCAGTCGCGCGATAAAAGATGATCTATTATTTACGCTCGAGAAATGCAAGACACTCTTTTCTCTTCGTGAATGTTAATAAAGCTACGCTCATTCTCGTGCCACGTCGTTCCAATTTCATTTCTCTTCTTCTTATTGTAACGAAACAGATGAATAGAATCGATAGGTCTTAAAAGTAATCGGTGAAGATAAAGTTATGAGTTCCTTAAGAGAAATTTACTTCCACAGAATCTCATAAATTCAGAACGTATTTCACTGTTAAACTCGCAACAGTTTCATTTTTTTGAAGCAGAAAAATAAAGATTTAATGAAAAATAATGCGTTTCTTTGTGCTTTGCGTTTGACAATTAAATTACACGCCACATATGTCAATGTATTTGAAATAGAAAGGGGTAGAATAAAATACAAAAAAATGTCGAACCATTTCACGCTTCAAAGACTAGGAATTCAAGTTCACGAAACCAAATTCTTCCTATGCCTACATCTCGCAAAAAAATTATTCGCGTTTTGTTTTTGACGGTATGTCTTCAGAAAGATCAATGAATTTGAAAAAGTTTCTTAAAAATTCTTTTTCTAAACTAATATTTTAAATCGGAACAAAGGAAAAGAATAAAGATGTCTTTTTTATGCAAAATGAAAAAATATTAAAAATACTCTCTTTCCGTTTCGCTCTAACATTCACTACATTGCTTTTATTAAAAGAAAATGGAACTTTAAAAATTCATTCCTGTATATATGTGTATATATGTATATGTGTGTAATATTAACTGATTTCTCGGATTCATTTTAGAGACATAAATTCCTTGCACAATTTATGCTCCGCATATATATTCGTTCAAGATTTTTCCAGATCCATGAAAACAAACTGACGTCTTTAATTAATCTAAAAGCGTTATAAAATCACGAACCTCGAATTTATAGGCATAACTTTGATCATTTATGTAAATTTTATACATTCATTAGTTATATGGTGTTAGCGTTATCCAAGCTATCAGGATATTGCAGAACGTTTATTTCCTTCGTGTATCGTGTTTACGAGGAGCGATACATCGTTACAGGACAGAACTGTCAGACAACTTGCTGTCAGACAAGTTTCTCTAACGCGGAAACATCGTAATGGATTGATTCACATTGATGTCATTAAATCGAGCTTTCGATACTTATTAAACAGCTTCCGTATTACATACTCTTGCAGAACGCGACGGTATAACTAGGTCAGTATTTTCATACAGAATTTACAATATTCCATGTACATAATGCGCATCCCGCTGGAAATATGGGAATTTCCGCCCTTTCCGCATTTTGCATGTTACATCCATCTCGAGGTCACGTATCGAAATATCCATTTTACAAGAAGACAGGAAACAAAGAGCTACTTTACCATTGTACAGCCACGAGCTATTGACAAGCTATTGCAAAATGGTAAGATAAAATAACGATACATGTTTGCGATCTTCCTGTAAAATACACAATTAAATTTGTTTTCGAGAAAGAAACGTTCGAATCGCATGAATTGTCATCCGTTGCGTGATTATCCGTTGTTCCGTTTTTCCAATGCTTGCATTTTATCTCTGCTGGACGTTGTTGCAAAGCAATCATTTTTCTATCGTGGACAAATATGACGATACGATCGCAACGATCGGTACGTGAAGTTTTTAGATTACAAAAACGTTTCACGCGATTACAAAAACGTTTCACGCGATTGCTCTGTCTGTATGAGTGTGCGAATCGATTCACGAGCTTCGCCTGGGCCATGGTACAGAAGTTGAGTGAAATGGTTCGTAACCCACAGAACGCAGTAGCATCGTACGTGGAAATTACATGTGCACAACATTGAAGCCGCAGTTTTGAAAAAGATAGAGAGAGAGAGAGAGAGAGAGAGAGAGAGAGAGAGAGAGAGAGAGAGAGAGAGAGAGAGAGAGAGAGAGAGAGAGAGAGAGACGAGACTAGAGAGAGAGAGACGAG